TTGGAGTCCAGTGACATAGCCATTACACTGTCTTCTGGTCCTGAGAAACGGTTCTTTTAACTGAGGACACCCAGTGGCTAGAGAGCACCTCCGCAGGGGGTCATAGGCTCATAGGCACCATAACAAGCATAAGGGTGGTGGGATTTGCACGAAGAAAGGAAAAAACAAGAGTATGAGGGAGTAGCCTCCCAAATAGGCTTGGGAACTAGCAGTTAGCGTAATGACTATGTTGCTGGACTCCCACGTAGTCGACCGCGGTTCGCGTTCCGGACCCGGTGGCTTAAAACTCAGGCAGGGCGCGTGTGCGTGCGTGCCCAAGATCCCGAGAGGAGAATGGAGGAGAAGGGATTGTGGCATAACCATCCCCCCTGGGGGGTGATTTCTCACTTTCTGTTTCTATGTCTCTCTCTCTCTGGCGAGTACACGCGCCCTATAGTGAAAACCTCTCCAAAAAAAAGAAAAGGCTTTTTCTACTACCTTGCTTTGCAATTTCTCCTTGGCTCAGGCTTCCCCTCAAGATTCATAATTACTATTATAATTTAAGTGTAAGATTTCAATAGATACATGTTGAATAAGTGGTTAAGAAATGGTCTGCAAAACCAACACTAACTTCCTCTTTTCACTTTGCACATTCTCTGCCCTATCAACCACTGGTGACAGGGCTAGGGGACAGCAAGCTTCTGTAGAAGGCCATGAGCCTTTGCCTCTTACTACCAACCAAGTGGGTGACCTGAATGAAGTCAACTTTCTCTAGTCAAGACAGACAGTTCCTGAGACTCAGTCACTTAAGATTCTCTCTCTCTGTCTTTGTATGGTGAGCATCTTAAGTAGGGTACCTTCACTTCTCTCATATCCCAGACTCCAACTATCAGTGCCTTTCAGGTAGACTTCCTTGATTAACCCAACCACAGTCAAATCATTCTCTCAGCAACTCCCTAAGATTTTCAAATGAAAAACTCAGTCTACTGGATACCCAATTTTTATACTTCATCAATTTGTTATTCCTGTCTCAGTTTTGTCTTTCTCATCAGATTGGACCTTTTGAATGACAGGTGGGCTGTAGTTCCTTTTTAATTCTGGGGTGCTCAACTCTAGAGTCTTGTGTATACCTTACTTTACAGGATGATGTCCTGGATCTCCACCATAAATGGAAACATCTTTAATAAGAGTGTAGAGGTAGTTCCCTAAGAAGGGTGAGAGTTTTCCAAGCACATGGAACTGGTTTTCTGCTATATACAGCATTCCATTCTGTATATATATATTCATTAGCATGGATTGATACTTCTAAACTCACTCCTAGATTCACAAATCTCATTCAAAGTGTTACTCTATTCATCCCCATCCTAGGGACAGCTAGAGGGCAATTTCATGGAAATTATGTGGCTATTAAGGGTCACAAAGCAGGTCAGCTTAGTAGACATGATGTTGCTGTCGATAACTGAGCTGCAAATTTGGGGTGCAGGATAAACATGACAATCAGAATGAGCTGTGCTTCATCCTTGGGTGCCCCCTCCACTCTTACCTGGAGACCACTGAAGGGGGATGGAGTATACTAAGAATCTCATTTCTCAAGACCCAGGTATCTTAACCTGCCTTGGGCTTGTTCCTAGTTTATATACATTTCATCTGCTAATAATTTGTGTATTTTGGAAAGTATGACTATGTCATTTTAGTGATTATTGAAACTGTCAACCTAAACAGAGCCTGCTGAGGCTTATCTCCTGAGATGGGGGATTATGTCTCACTGACCAATTGGGAGATTTTTGAAAATAAATTCCTGACTTCTTTTCTTATATTACTCTTTGGCTTCCCTGTTAGTGTTTGTTGTAGAGTGAAAAGGGCTTTGCAAAGAACATCTTCTGACTCTGGTTCTGCCCTCAGAGGGGCTGAGCTTCTTAGAAGGACTTACCTAGGCTTTCTATCCCATTCCTATGTTCTCTCCATAGCTTATAGCTCAAGACAGGGGACAGCTTATAGCCCCTATGGAGACTAAGTTGAGATCCTCCATTGGTTCTCTGAACATTTTCAAAGTTCAAGTACACTTGGTATCCAGCAGTGTTCCTAGAATAGTGATCTTGTCATCATCGTTGCAAAGGAAGGATGTAGTTAGGGAGGAAGAAAGGTCTGGAGAAGAATTACTAATATACTCATTAAACCTAATCATTTGCAGTGAAAAATATATTTCCAGATCGTGTAAATCAGGCTCTGCTCCAAAATTATCCCTTCATAGTTTGGATTAATGTTAAAATTGCAGGATGCAGGTGAATAGAGCCACCTAAGAGACCTGTTAATTATGCTTTGCCTCAGTTGCTCTTTCAATTAACCAACAAGTATATAGAATACCTACTCAATTTTCAGTATTTTACTGGATATAGTGTAACTTTCAAGGAATATGCGCTATGTTTCCTCTTTTTCCTTTTTAATTACCAGAGGGCCTATGCATGAAAGAGAGAGAGAGAGAGAATCCCCTAATAGGGTGTGGTCATGCCACAATCTCCTCTTTTACATTTCCTCCTCCTGTCAGGATTTTGGTCATGTACCCACACACACCTGGTAAGTTTCTCAAGCTGTTATGCTGGGTCTTGAACCACAGCCAGTCATGTGGGATCCTGCTCCCTTAATCACTAGGCTACTGGACATTCTGTCATGTTTCCTCTTTACTTCCTCTAAATACTATCGTTTTTGTTTCTTTCTCATTCTTTCATTTAGAAGGTTTTTTGGAGAGCACCAAACATCAGCTCATTGACTTATAGCTCCAAGAAGAACCAAGAAGAAGATGAACATCATTAAATAATTCAGATTTCTAGCCCCAAGCAGTCTGAATTTATGGCCTGCATCTCATTTTCCCAGGGTCCCTGAAGAGCTTAGAGTGGGCTAATGAAAAGGTGGGACATAAACACAGGTGAGTCTGGGGAGAGAAGTAAATAAGAAGTTAATAATGCTGGGAAGAGCCATGTTAAGATATATAGCGATAAAATGTAAATATAATGTAAAAACATTAAGAAGTAAGTAATAGGTTAATAATTATTAGCTCCTTGAAATCAGTATGAAGCCCTCGAGTTTAGGCACAAATCCATTCTCCTCCTGGGGTGCTTATTAGGAGTCTATAAATGACTAGTCCAGGTTTGGGGGCCTTAGGAATCCTAGCATGCTTTTCCAGTTAGCCAAGCTGAAAAGAAAATACAGCTCAAGCTGGGGAACATCTCCAAAGGCTTAGGTGCTCTCTTGCATACTGGTCTCCAAACCATGTTCTATTTCATAACCAAAATTTCAGTTAAAAAAAAAGTAAAGGTGAAGCTCTCACAATTATACCACAAAATACAAAATACATCCATCTGTAATATTTAATTGACAAAAACGTTTGTCTCCCAACTTGACAAACTACGATTTACCGAGCTAGAGGTTTTGGAACTCCAGAGAGGACAAGATGTACTGCTGAAATCAGGTACCAGACTCCCACATGGTTGACCATGGTTTGAGTCCTGGACCTGGTGGCTTGCTTTCTCACTTTCCCCCTCTTTCTACCTCTCTTTGGTGAATACACATTACCTAAATTAAAGTAAGTTAAATAGTAATAAGAAATTAAAATTAAATAAATAATTATTTTAAAGAAAAAAAACCAAAGGATTTACTGCTGCAACCTCTGTTTCTTGAGAGGAGTTGTCCTCTCCCCTAGCTAGGGTGTAAGTCTTCAGTAGTTTACTTGTAGAAACTGCAGACCAAACTCTCTAAAATCCTTTTTCCTTTTTGTTTTTTGAGCCTCAGTCAACTGATCAAAGGAAACACCCTATATAAAACTACCAATTAAACCTCTAAGTGGTAATTGAAGCTGCAGAAGTGAAGTGAAAAGATAATGAAGGAAGAAAAACTACCAGTGACAACTAGGAAGGAGAAGAGTTCCTGGAGCAATTGATATACAATAAATTTAAAGCATAAACTTGTATTAGCAAAATCTGTCCTGGAATTCCTGTTTATGCTATGTCATCAGTCCCAGTTAGCTTTATATTAATCTCTCATGTGTCAAGTTGCAATCCAGACTCTTGTGAGGTGAATGGCCAGAGTCTACCCATTCCCAGTGCTGAGACCTGTAAGGGCAAGGAGAAACTGAAGTAACACTGTAGTCTTTATCCTTAAGCTCTTTCTCCTTACTTACATGTTTGTTAGTTCACTCCTGTCAAGCTTCCTTTTTCTAATCAGCATTTTGTTCTTGTTTTTTTAGAGAGATATTTTTGCTATAGGGCATGTGCACTCAACAGTGAGACAGAGACAGAGAGACAGAAAGCAAGAAACTACTTCCCAGAGGATATGGCCACAGTGCAATCCTTTCTTCTCTACTCTCTTGAGACTTTTGGCACTCACACACACACACATACACACAGCAGCATGAGTTTAAGCCGCTGGGTCTGGGACTCGAACTGTGTGGTCAAATACGTGAAAGTTCATTATATATATGCCATCCCCTAATCAGCATGTTTATCTCACCAAATCACATGTTGTCTAATTTAGTACGAGTAGCAGGGGTTTTGGCTATGGAGTGACTTTTTGAAAGTCAATTATTGGGAACCAGCAGTTAGTGTAATGGCTATGTCACTGGACTTCCACATAGTTGACCGCAGTTTGCGTCCCGGACCCGGTGGCTTAAAACTCACGCTGGGCGCATGTGCGTGCGTGTCCAAGATCCCAAGAGGAGAATGGAGGAGAAGGGATTGCGGTGTGACCATCCCCCCTGGGGGGTGATTTCTCATTTTCTGTCTCTATGTCTCTGTCTGTCTGGCGAGCGCACGCGCCCTATAGCGAAAACCTCTCAAAAAAAAAAAAGTCAATTATCAATTTGCTAGAAAGAATGCAATCTCTGCTTCATAAATTTCAACTGCCTAAGGAGTTTTGAGTTTTCCATCTTCATCTACAGGTGAGAAAACATTATGTCTAGTCACAGAGCAAGTATGTACAGGTCACTGCTCCATCATCCACTCTGTTCAATGGAAGTGAGATAGGTATGCTTGTTGCAACCCAAGGAGTTTATTTAGGTTTAATTCTGAGGCTGGGCATGGGAATAAGCTGTTATGTGGCCCCAAACTCAAAGATACAGTGGGAGTTCAGTTGTTCCTGATTACATTTTCAATCCATGACACATAGTTAAAGATTCTGACATATATGCCAACATCAGCTCTCAAAACACATCCATCTGCAAAAGACAGGATTCCTTGAAGTACCCCATTGCAGACTGCAGGGGCTGCTGAGACTTCCTGCCAGGAGAAAGGAAACCAAGTTATCTTTCTGGCAAACGATACAAGGAATAAGATGGGGATATTCAGGAATTGAGACTACGTTACCTTACAGGGCTGCCTCCTCCCTGGAACAATGCCCACGCATATCATAGTTTCTTTGATTTCTTGGTTTTTGTAGGCATTGTGGCAATCAGTCCTGGAAATTATAGATATGTTCACATTCTGCATTGAGTCTGGGTCTCTGGCTACAGGAAAGAGAGTAGTTAAACTTCCTTAAGAGTTCTCTTAGGTACCAAGCCCATATCTCTTTCACTTTATGTTTCCCAACATATTTTACTACTACTGCCAGAAAGGAAAAGAGATTGAACACAGAGAGAAGTTTGAACTGTGATAGTGGGACACCATGGGTACAGGAGATGATCAGGTGAGCAATTTCTCAAAATACAAATGTCTGTCTTCTTATGAAAGAGACTAAATTTGCAGAATTTATATACAAATGTGAAACATTCTTACAATAAAAGGGAACAAATTGTTTGAAATTTTATGGAAATTTAAACAGTAAAAGTGTCCTTCGACCATAGTGTTATAAAATACAGCAGGGAGGATATAGATAGCAATTACTTGCCTTGTATCTCAGAGTAACTAAAAAGGAGGATTTTGAATTTTTTCAACATAAGTAATGATAAATGGTTGAGCAAATGAGTTTGCCAATTATACTGATGTAATCACTCACAGTGTTCTTATATTGAAAAATCACATTTATTCCCACATATATGTACAATTTTATGTTCAGAAAAGATATTTTTCTTTAAGATGGAATTTGGAGACTTTGAATTAATTAAGAGCTATCTAACCTAATTTTGCATTTGTCAGGCTAAAATAACCATAACTATCTGCTCAAAAAGAAATCATACCAAAAATGCTTTTCTTAAACTCATACTGGTGGTGTGAGTTTAAAAGGAAGATTTAAAAGTGATGTCCTGACAAAGATTTTCCAGTCTGAAATAAAATCAGAAAAACAAGAGTAAAGTAGTATCTGTACATTTGGCAGGTGTTCTTGTCAGGATTCCTCGGAAGAAATGATATATTTTAACATTTTGTTTTTCTTCATGGGAGTGTGTGCTTACTTTCATGACTTTATGTGAAAATAGTATTTGAAAAAATATTTAAAAATGATTCTTAAAAATAAAACATTTGGGTGAGTCCATGCCATGGTGATTAAAGCAGCTGGATCCCACATGGCCAACTGTGCAGTTCAAGTCCCAGTTCAAGACTCAGTGGGTCGAGAAATCCACTGGGTGCGTGTGCACGCATGCCTACTCAAAATCCTGACAGGGAAAAATGAAGGAAGAGGGACTGTGCCATGGCCATTTCCCAATGCCGTGTGCTTTTTCTGCTTTCCCGTTCTCTCTCTTTCTCCTCTGGTGAATGCACATGCCCTCTAGTAGATTTAAAAACAAACAAACAAACAAACAAAAACATTTGAGAACCCTTCCTTTATTTGAGAGCCTAGCAATAATTTCATGATTCACTATTTTCTCTGAGAATATTTATTTAGGAAATGCTTACTTAACTACTTCCTGATCTAAATCAAGATGAGCTGCATTTTGGACATAGTGGCATAACCCAAATGATCAAACAATGTTCACCATGGGGCATTTGGCTAATTCCAAAAATAAATTGACTCTCACAAATAATAAAAAAAAAAATTGATTCCATGACATAGTCAAGAAAATGTGCCCCAAAGTTTGAAGGCATTTACAAAGAGCAATTAAAAAGCTATGAATAATAACAATATTGTTAGGATGTATGTATACTGGCCCACAATTCTATAAAAACAACATAGAGATGGATGGAGGAATAGAATCTGACAGGCTTTTTAAAAATAAACCTTCCCATTCTATGATAACTAGTGTATGACATAGTATATTCAAACTTACTCATGTGTAAAGTTGCATTAATAATTCTTCATAAAGGACTATATCATTGTTACATTTTGCTTACAGGCAATAAATTCTCCAGCACTCACTACTAGCTTAATCGACAACTACAGATAGTTGATTCAGGTTTGCATTAAAATCTTGGCATGGGTTCAATGTCTTCAGCTAAAAATGTTTCTTTCAGAAATATTATCCTTGAACTTTAAAAACATTATTTATTATTATTATTTATATATTCAATTGCTATTCATCATTTAGATTATAAAGATAATTTACCCAGCATGAAATATACCTTAGACCAGTCCAGTTGAGAATACTATACATGTCATCGTCAACAGGTAATAAACCATTTCTGTGTCCCACAAATATCTTACCTCTATTTTTCCCCAAATTTCCTTCCTTACACTTTTCTCCTCTCCCACTCTCCTTCCACTTCGTCCCCAGTGTCCATAACAATTTTCAATGCTTTTATGTCCTCCAGTCTTTCAGTCTCTAGTGTAATTAGGACAGTCAGTTTATGTTAAGTGTAGACATACAATGTCTCTGTTTCATAGCCTGACTTGCTTCACTCAGCAGTAAATCTTCTATATTCATCCACTTTCTATCAATCTATGTTTTAGCAATCATGAATAATGCTGCAATAAACGTAGATGTGCAAGCACCTTTCTGACTGAGCATTCTCCTGTCCTTTGGGTAGATACTCAAGAGTGCTGGATCATATGGTATTTCTATTTGAAGGTCTTTGAGGAACCTCCATGTTGTTCTCCACAGTGGCTGGACCAATTTACATTCCCACCAACAACGTAGGAGAGTTCCCCTTTCACCACATCCCTGCCAGTACTTATTTATTTATTTATTTTTTAATCTTCACCATTCTGACTAGGGTTAGTGGTATCTCATTGTGGTTTTGATCTGAATCTCTCTTATAATGATGGATGCTGAGCATTTTTTCATATGATTTTTGGCTGTTCGCATGTCTTCTTTACAGAGTTGTTTATTCAGCTCATTTTCCCATCTTTTAATTGGGTTAATAATTTTCTTCCAGGTAAGCTGGTTGAGTTCCCTGTGTATTCTGATTATCAGTCCCTTATCTAAGGCATAGTTTACAAAATTTTCTCCCATTCTGAAGGTTGTTGATTCACACTAATTACTGTGTCTTTTGCTGTGCAGAAACTTCTTAATCTGATGTAATCCCACTTGTTTATCTTGGAGATTATTACCTTTGTTTTGGGAGTCTTACTTAAGAAGTCTTGGCCTTCCTTAATGTCTCTCAGAGTTTTCTCAGCATTTTCCACGAGTAGGTTTATAGTTTGAGGTCTCAGGTCTAGATCTTTGATCCACTTTGAGTTGATTTTTGTTAATGGTGACAGTTAGGGGTTCAGATTCATCTTTCTTCAGGTGGATCCAGTTTTTCTAGCACCATTTACTAATGATGTTTTTCTTTTCCCACTGGATTGACTGGTGCCCTTTGTCAAAGATCACTTGGCTGTATGTTTTGGAGTTGTTTCTCCATGTATACCTATTATAATCTTGCATAAGGGAGTTTTGTCTAATTTATCACTATATTATTTATTTGTCTTACATTTAATACATTAATAGTTATTTCATGATATATTAAGGCTCTGAGTTGCTTTATTGGCTGAAATAGTTTGGGAACATCTGATATAATGTTGTGTCCCATTTTAAAGTTAAGGAAATTGAGATTCCAGGGTTGAATGACTTGGTATCACATAGTGAATTAGGATTAGAATACAAATGTCTTTTATTCCACAGACAATACTTCTATCATATATAAAAGTAAAGATGAGAGAAAGATATAATGGAGGAAAAAGCTTGAAAAATTCTTTCAGTGAAATACAAGTTAAGAGAAAGATGAGATAGAGAAATGAATGAGTTAAAAGAAGTCTCAGTGGATAGAACTGTAGAAGACAAGAGTAAAGAAACTATAAAAGCATGTATGCTTATAAGAGAAGAATATTTTCTTGTATCAATAGAAATCATTTATGTCTTGAACTCACAGATATCACATACGTTGTAGGCCCAGGTGGAGATGGTACACATGGTATTCACAATAGCAGGTTCTTTGGGCAGGCTGATCAGTTTCACATGATCATTGAGTTTAGCCTCTCTTCTAAGCTTGATTAACATGAGATCATGATCAATAGACGTGATTGTGAAGTGTGGATGGTGAATTATCTTCATATAACCAATTACTTGTGTGTTAAATTCATCGGGGTCTGATGGATTTGTAACTCCCAACATCACCCTTAGCCTCCTAGAAGAATATAGATGTTCATGATAAGATTTAACAGAGAAGACCTCCCCATCTCTATGGGCCTTTATTAGCCCTCCCCACAGACTTTTTTTTCTCTACCACTGACTGTCCCCCAAAGGCCTTCCTAATCCTGCTTAATCGAGAGATGGTCCTAGGCAGGGGTCTGTATCTGTGCCCAACCTGAAAACCCAAAGGGAAGAGTAACTGTGGGACCTATCACTCACGGTAAATTGCAGTGTGCAGCTGTGATCACCCAGAGAGGGTGGATCAGGGCTCCGGTGCAGGGCAAGTAATCGGATTTCAAGTAGACCACATAGGGAGGAATAGAGTCAATGCTGTAATCTATATGAGAGATGGAAACAACTGGAAAGAGAGACATAGAGAAAAAATTCTCAGTTTTTCCAATTATTACTAGAAAAACCTAGGAAAAATAATTCGATAGACTCCAAGTTCCCTATATTTTTTCCAGCACTTTTATCTGCAAACTGAATCTATGGAATGACTTTTTTTTTTTTTTCAAAAACATGAAGAAAAAGATACGATAAATAAATTTAACAGACAAAGACTCATGTCTTTGTCCCATAAATGCCTTGCCTTTCTATTTTTCTCCTTAATGCCCTTCCTCAGACTCTCCTCCTTCATCCACTCCCTTCCCACACTGCATCTGGTATTTATAACCATTTTTTATGTTTCTATATTCTCTAGTCATTCAGTTTCTGCTATAGAGTGTGGACAGTCAGTATATATTAAATGGAGACATACAATGTCTCTTTGCAAGCTAAGTGGCATATGTGATGGAATGTATAAAATAAATTGGAATAAAAAATATAAGAAAGAAAGAAATCCATTTAAAAACAAAAGTATTTGCCTCTTTAATTGTCAATAACTATGCTCTTTAATTGTCAATAATTATAGACAATTAGGTCTATAAATGTCAAAATACAGGCTTTATTAAATACCTTTCACAGTTCAATGGGTCCTATATTAGATCAACTCATTTTTACCAGTTTTAGAATGTTTCAACAAATCTTATCTCTTTCTTCCAACCATACAAGTTGGAATGTTATTAGTGCCCTTACAAGAACAGATAAATTACTAATCAAGTAAGAGGAAGGGTTAATTATTCATTTCCCAAATAAATATTGAGCACTTATGTTCCAGGCTCTGTCTTAGGGACTTAGGCAGTAATATGAATGAAACAGATATCCTTGCTTTTATATGTTCCAGTTAAGGAGACATTTAAGTAATAATGAACTCAACACATAAATGGTACTGTTAAATGGTGATTAATGCTGTGGGGGAAAAAGCAAGGCAAAGAAAGAAGGAAAGTCAATACCAGTTGTGTGTGTGAGTGAGCATGTGTGTGAGTGTGTGGGGATGCCAGACAGTATTAAGTCGCTGGTCAGGATAGAGCTCATGGACATTGTTGAACAATGACATGAAGGTGTGGAGTTAACTGATTAGCTAAGGGATTCTAGGAAGAAGAGGCAGCTGGAGCAAGAGTCCTAAGGCTCTGCGGCTGGTGGGTGGTGTGGTGGTTAAGGGGGCTGGACTCCCACATAGTCCACTGCAGTTTGAGTCCCGGACCTTGTGGCTTGCTTTCTCACTTTCCCTCTCTCTCTCTTCTGTCTCTCTGGTCAAATTTAAATAAGTAAATAAATACAGTTAAACAAAATAATTCTTAAAGAAAAAGAGTCCTGAGGTCCTTGTGAGGCCCACCACAGATGTCAGTGTAGCTGGCATGGAGTGAGGACTTGCACTTGTCCTCTGAATGAAATGTGGAATCACTTCTGGGTTTAACATAAAGGAGGGATGATAATTTTTATGGAGACCATAGAGAGTAAGAGTATATTAAAGCAGAGGGGCTTGTTAGAATACCTTGATAATCCAGGCAAGAGATGGTGGATTAGAAAGTACTGAGCACTGAACAGGGTGAGAGGTGATTCGATTTGCAATATGTTCAGAAGATAGAAACTACAAGATTTTTTACTAATAGACTGAATGTGAAGTGTGATAGAAACAGGATTTCTAAAAACTCCAAGTTTTTTTTTTTCCCCAAATCACCAGAACCAGATCAGAAGGTATCCAGCTCCTCAACCCTGTACAGTGTCCACTGGTTGCACACTTGCTTTCAGTCCCTGTCCTCATGTCTTATTCTCTCACCCAAGGATCAACCTCATTCAAGATGAGGCCAGAGTCAGATGGCATCTCCGCCTTAATAGTAAGTTTGGTACGGGGGTATCATTATTCATGCTTTCCCCAAACTCTTGCAAGTAAGCTGCCAAGGTTGAGGCAGGCAGGCACTATCTCATGAAAAAATTTGGTGGGGATGATGGCAGTGGGGAGGGACCTAGAATTAATCCTACACTTGAAGTCTGGAATGGTTCTTCCTATTTTTATTCATTTTTCACCTTTCCCTCACTATTTTTTTTCCCTTTTTTTTTTTTCTTATAAGTAGAAAAATGTGCAGACACTCACCAGGCAGGTTCAAGAGAGCAAAAAGGAAGAAAATATTCATGGTGATGTTGAAATCTTTGTCAAGGTATAAGGTGCTGCTCCAGATCTCTGGGAAGTATGGAGAGGAGAGAGAGAAAGACTATAAACAAGTCAAAATAATAAAAGGTTCTAGAGTTGGAAAAAAGGTACCATCCAAATTTCTTCAGGGTAGGACTCAGTTCCAGAAAAGGTGTCCCTCCATGAGAGTAGGCGGTGGTGTCAATTGTCAGAGGGCTAAGAACAGAGGCCAGGAGATATGGACCCTGACACAGTAGAAAATGGGCCTGGAATTGAATTGAGAGTTTTACCCTCCTCTTCAGGGAGGAAACTACCTAATCTGAGAGAAGTTGTTCCCACAGTATCTCCACAGCCTACTCCTCTCTGGGCCTACCCTTTGTGAAACCTTGAGGGTAGGTCCCTCTCTGACCAGTCTGCTGGGTACTGGCCCCTCCCATCTGTGATGTTCACTCCCAATTGTGTGACATGATTTTATCTCCAATGGACATGCCCAGCTCTCTGGTGTCAATGTTGCTCTCCATGCCAGATGCTAAACTCCTCTTTGAAGTGTATTAATCCTTTGCTCATGTCAGAATTCATTCATGTATACATTCAGCCAGCCATACAGCAACTTATGTCATGTAGCTAACACACACTGGGATCTGTTCTTGCTGTTGGGGATGCCTAAATTTGTTTAAATTTTAAATTTTTTTATTTTAAACATTCAGTCACTGTACATCACAGCAGCTTGTAAAATAAATTTTCCCAGGATAAATACACTGCATATCAGTCTAGTCAAAGACATTATCATATATATTATCATCAACAGAAAATCCTCCACTTCTGTATCACCTAAATGTCTAGCCTCTCTATTTTTCTTCTTGATTCCTTCCCTTGCATCTTTTCCCACCATTTTTTTCTTTTAAAAAATTATTTTACTTAACTTTATTTGTTTTAATTTGACCAGAAAGGGGGGAGAGAGAGAGAGAGAAAGCAAGAAAGGAAGGTCCAAGACTTGAACTGCCATTGTCCATGTGAGAGTCCAGCACCCTTAACCACCATGCCACCTGCTGGCCTCCTACCTTCCTCACCTTTCTCCCTCCTCTCATACTGTTTCCGTTCTCTGCAACCATTTTCCATACTTCCATATCCTCCAATATTTCAGTTTCTGACATAGTGTGTGACATTCAGTATATATTAAGTGGGGACACACTATGTCTCTCTTTCATAACCTGGGAATGCCTAAATTTAAAGATGTCATTCTTAATGTCAAAAAGTAGACTATTGGAAATGATAGCTCTTAAGCAGACAGTTACAGAACAAAGCATTCAGACCTAGAAATTGAGGTATGCCTCAGTCTGGGTGAAAGATGTGGGACATCACAAAATGATGCCAATGCAGACATTGTTGGTGGAAATGCAGAATTGAACAGCTACTTTAGAAAATAGGGAATTTCTGACAAAGCTAAACACAGCTTTACTGTAGGATTCAGTGATCAGATTCCTTAGTTTTTACCCATAAGATGAAAATTTATGCCCCCCTCAAAAATAACCCTGTATATGAATGTTTGTAGCAGATTTTTCCATAACTGCTAAACCTTGGAAGTAACCAAGATGTCGTTAATAGGTAAAGGATAACAAGGTGTAGTGCACCTGTACAATGGAATATTATTCAGAACTTACAAAAACAATGAGCCATCAAGCCAAAAAAAGGCATGGAGGTAACTTAAATGCATACTGCTAACTGAAAGAAACCAGTCTAAATAGGTTATACGCTGTATATATTTTGAATTACATGACATTTTGGAAACAGTGAAACTATAGAAATAGTAAAAAGAACAGCGGTTGTTCAGTTTTGGGGAGAGAAGGATGAACAGGTGGGGCACAGAGGATCTTCTGTCTGATACTGGAATGGTGGACACATGAGGTTATATATTTGTCACAACTCATAGAACTGTGTAACATAAAAAACCCCATATTATAAAGAGTGAGCTTTAGTCCTAATAATAATAGTCAGTAATAATGTATCAATATTGGTTCATTCATCTCAAAGCTACCCATACTACCGCATACTACCCATACTACCGCAAAATGTTAATTAAAAATAGATTTTTCAGTGGTAGGAGCAAGTCGGTGGACGTATTGCTAGCTACTGTACAATTCTTTCAGTTTTGTTATGTGCTCAAAACTTTTTATGATAAAATGAAAAAGAAAAATTTTGAATTAGGGTATGTGCTTTAGTGCACACAGTTTAAGATACTTCTCGGGCTACACTGGATGTTAAAAATGGGGCATAGGCGTTACACTTTACCAGGGTCTTAGAGAAGAGGAAGGAGCTTGTGTGGAAAAAAAAAAAAAAATGAGAGAGAGAAAAAAAAATTCCGGAAGAGGAGAATACTTCAGGAAAGGTGTGAATACATGAAATGCATTTCACACAGTGCTTGTGAAATTACAACCAAAGATTAGAGGAATTAAGATGAAGAGATAAGCAGGAACTAATAAGGAAAGCTTCATTACATGCCCTTGCATATATAAGACTTGTGTACGTCTTTATCATGTGCGAGACAAGGAGCCAAGAAATCCCTTATTTGACAAAACCCGACTGCAAATTGTGGGAGACAGACTCAAGGCCCCGTTCATGTCCTGTACAATGTTTTTCCCTTGAGTGCTGACATGACTGTGATTTGCTTCTAACTAATAACCTGTGGCAAGGATGATGGGATGTCACCCAGATGATTGTTAACATTTAATATAATAAAAGGGGTCTTCAAAGAGTTCATAGAAAATGTGTATTGTGAAAAACCCATGCATGGATTTTAGTTTGTTGTGTATCAAAAAAACTCGTACTTTAATTCCATTTTCCACAAACTTTTTGGAGTCCATGCAAGAGTATGTGTGTGTAAAAAGTATATATTGATATCTTCCTGGCACACAAACATGCACAAGAGAGATTCTCCCTCTGGCTGACTGATGTAGCAGCCATGTTAAGGAAGTCCAGATGTTGGCAAGTCTCTATGAGTTAAGGACAGTCTGAGGATCAGAGGTGATTTTCAGGTGACATTCAGCAAAAAAACCAGGCCCCATGTCATAAAAAGCACAAGCAGATGAATCCTACCAAGGACCTGAATAAGTGTAAAGGCAAACTCCCTGTAGCACCTTTAGATCCTGAAGAGATGACCTGAGTTGTGATTTTAAGCCATTAACTTTGCAGTAGTAGCTTCACAGAGCAATATGAAATGAATGCAGATGTGCACTGTGTGCTGACACTTTATTATTAATACATCCTGTTGAGTTAGTGGTGAAGGAGATGAAAATCTTGCTCTCAGGTATTATAAACTCCAGTGAGGAGACAGATGTATAACCGTCATCAGCCAGAGAATGGCATGATGGTTAAGGTGTCTGAATCCCATATGGCTGACTACACAATTTGATTCCCAAACTCACCAGCTTGAAAAAAAGCTAGGCACATGTGTATGTGTGCCCCAAATCCTGAGAGAATGGAGAAGGAATTGGGGTATGACCACCTTCACCCCTTGGGGGATTGCTTTCTCACTTTCTCTCTCTCTTCCCCTGTAGGTGCTTGCCCTCTAACAAAAAAAAAAAAAAAAAAAGAATAATCACTATGAGGGTTGCAATGTGGAAAGTGAAAGGAGGCAGATAAACATATAGCAGAGCTCCAAAAAAGGGTCTAAGAATTCCTCCTTGCGGAAGTGATGTTTTCAAGACTTGATGGATGAGTAAAAGTTTAGCAAGTGAAGACATTGGGGAGAAATTGCTAGGATGATGAACCAGGACTCAAAAGAGAGCAGAACATGAGGACAGAGACAGGCAAGAAGATGCAGGCAGGCAGAATTCTACAGAAGAGCCTTTGCGGGAGTTGTCCAGTAAGAATTGCCTGCACAGGAGAAAGAGAATGCACTGGAGAGTAGATGAAGAGAAGGGATCCAGTGTTCCACATTTTAGGTAAGAGAAGCTTTATCTTGCTTAAATGATGACAGGAGGAAGCCAATGGTTAGGGGAAATGGAAAATTTGGAAAAGTAGAGATAACTCATAAAGCAGGTTCATGGGGGCATTTAGGAGAGACAGGATACATGTCACAGGTGGGCATATATAAGCTATAGAGATTGAGAACTCTCTTCCATTGTGGCAGGAAGGGTAGAAAAATATGGGCAAGGAAATAAACTAAGTATGTTTGCTGGTTTGGTGATGGCAAATTAAGAGAGGTATTTTATCATGGCTTCTACCTCCTCCTATTCCCAAACCAAAGGTCACTCACTGAAAATGAGCATTGAAAGTCTGAGAAGGAAGATTTGAAATGCCCATGGGGGAGAGTTGTACAAATTACCTGGAAAATCCAGGATTGTCAATAAGTGCTGAAGACGTCATTCAAGAGGGACAATATATGACAAGCTGAGTACTTTATGAAAATTTCTGGAACAAACAAGGATGTGATTCATTAAGGAGCAAAGAGCACTGGGCAGGGAGCAGGGGAAATGGGGAGGAGCTGCAACATTTGACTACTGCACACCCTCCTGGGATCCCAAAATAGACAACACAGGCAACAGAGGATGGGGCTGAAGATGACAGGAAAAAGAGGCACTTGTTGAATTAAGTGACCTTCATGTCTTCATTCAGGAATAGATATTTATTTGTGTATGTATGTCTAAGACACAATAAAGCACTATATTTTTTGCTTAGAAGAGGAAAAGCACCCAGGTTTACTCCTGGGTATCTACCCAAAGGACAGAAGAATACTCAGTCAGAAAAGTGCTTGCACATCTGTTTATTGCAGCATTATTCACAATTGCTAAGACATGGAACCAACCCAAATCCATGAACAGGTGAACATACTGAAAAAGGGTAGCACATATACTCTATGGACTACTACTCAGCCATAACAACCAAGATCCTGGCATTTGATAGAAAGTGAATGAATATGGAAGATTTATTGCTGAGTGAAGCAAGCTAGGCTGTGAAGGAGAGACATTGTAAGTCTCCACTTAACATACATCAATTGTACTGTGGAAATTGGAGGACTAGAGAATATAAAAGCATAAAAAATGATTAGGGATACTGAAGAAAGTGTGGGCAGAGGGTGGGAGAAGGAGGAAAATATGAGGAAAGAAAATAATGAGAAAAATAGAGAGGTAAGACATTTATGGGACACAGAAATGGATTATTTTCTGTTGAAGATAATGTGTATGATATTCCGAACTAGACTGGCATAAGTATATTTATGCTTAGTAAATTCACTTTACAAGCTAAGTTGTGTATACTGATTGAATGTATGAAATAACTTAAATAGAATTAAAAAAAAAAAAGCTAAAAAAAAATCCCGACTCTGCCACCCAAAATGTTTTATTCTATCATGAAACTTTTTTGCTCATCTCCCCTAGAGCAATTGTCACAAGGTGTCATAATTGACTAATTGATGGCAAAACTTCTGTCATATACACTTGTGTGTTCATTAGTATCCCTAGCAAATGCAGTGCCTACTAAGTAGCTGGTGTTGCAATTCATTCACTCATTTTTTTCAAGTGAAGATCTCACTGTGTCATGATCTCCCTGTCTCAGCCTCCCACAAGTACATGCTACTGAACCTGGCTTTCTTTTTTTGGTCATAGGGCATGAGTGCTCACTGGAGAGAGCAGAGAGAGAGGGAAAGTGAGAAATACCCTGTAGAGGGATGGATCACAATCCCTTCTCCTCTACTCCCCTACTGGGATTTAGAAATGCATGCACATGCTCCCAGCATATTTTTCAGGCTTTCAGATGGGACTCAAACCATGGAATCAGCTATGTGGGTTCCAACACCTTAACCACCATGCCACCTGCAGGCCCCAAACCTGATTCCTACAGACAGGGTCCTATTATATTGCCCAGATGGACCTCAAGTTTCCAATCTTCCTGCCTCAGCCTCAAGAGTCACTGGCAGGTCTGTCTTCTGGGGTGGCCTGGGAATCAAACCAAGCACACATTACTGTGGCTGTGCCTATTCATTTATCTTCAACTGAATGAACAAATAAGTGAAAAAGTTGCTAAATTTCTCATCTGTCTCAAAGTTAACATGATAAAGAGAGCAGGAGTCAAGCATGCATTCTTAGTGATGTTTTTATTGGATGTTTTCTCTTTGGATTTTGTTCATGAGTCAGAAAAAATAAAGACAGCTGTGCATGTAGTATAGAAATCATGAAGCGATTGCACTGAGGGGATGAGAATAGAGGCACCTCAGTAAGAATTAATGACTTTCATGATCCATCTTGCATAGTAATGAACATCTGTGAAGAACCCTTCACTTCCCAGGGTGACACTTCCTTTTGCCCAGGACAAAATTCCATGTAACCTTCCAGCACAGACAGCTGGAGCAGCTGAAACTTCCTGGGTAGAGAGAAAATAAGAGGTCGATGTAGCTTTGTCCTCGTAGAACAGAAGTACACCTCAAGAAGTGACACATTACATTAGCAAAACCATGGACTTACTTTTCTGAGAGGTGACAACTATCTCTTAATAACCTCATGGGTGTTCCCCCCCTCCCGCTCAGTACAAACTTGACTCAACCTGGGTGCGAGTAAGAGAAAAGACAGATGGTTCTACCCCACACCTTTGCTTCTCTAAGAGTGGGCAAGGGGAGTGAATTACAAACCCAAAGACTGCGGTGGGAGGGGAGAGGACTTCCGCCCTTTGTTCCTCACTCTGTGGACAAGGCCCTTTGGATGAGAACAATGGATTTCCCATCATCACCTCTCCTTCCCCTTGGTTCATTGGTACCTTCTTAACATGGAGGAAAGAAAGATACCTTATTTTTAGATAAGATCAACAGAGGTCTTCCCACACACATGATTTTTATTTCCAGCTCTTGGAGTATGTTCTGGCAGTCTTGTAAGGGAAGAATATATTGATTTGTCCATGTCAGAATGTCAGGTTCACTGACTGTGGGAAAGAGAAAGCAAATAAAGTCTGTGGTTACCGTCCTTATCACAAGTGCTGTTGTGATTAACCCTTGTTTTGTAAATAAGTTCTCCCTGGGACTGCTTGATGCAGGTTACAACAGACTCTCTAGCCTTGTTAGGATTCCTGGTTCAGTATCTTTGTTGGAGAAGTGGGTTCACAAGTGGCCTTTCCATCAGACATCAGATCTATAGTTCCCTCTGCACTTGGCATAATTTATGAAACTTTGAGAAAACTGTGAAAAGGTCATGAGTGACCACAAGGAGAAAGGGGGAATAACAAAGTTATTGTCTCCAAAGATTCCCCTTTTGCAGCCCATACTTGACCTTCTTCACATTTTATTATACAAGGGAGCTTCAAAGAGTTTGTGGAAAACTGTAATTAAAGTAAAAATTAATTTGGATGCAAAAACTAAAATCTACGCATAGTTTTTTCATATAATAGAATACACTATTTTTTGAGTATAAACTTAATTTTAAATTAAGTAATTTATAAATGGATTATTTACAAGTATTTGAGTGTGTATATGTATAAATTTACATACATGATTTTCCCTAAGAGGAATGCCATTCATCTTTATCATAGTAATTATTATAATACTGTCAATTTCAGGATACAGGAAATATAACCAAAATATTATATACTTTCAATCTCTTCTATAGTGTAATAGGAAAAAAGGAAATTAAAAAAGTAAAAGGGCCAGAGACTGCCCAAATTGAGCCTAGTGTTACAGATAGAAGAGGGTTTTTCTGACTGAGCATATTGGAATTGAAAGCCTAAAGCAGATAGGGCCACAAGGTGTCAAGTCAGAAAAGAAAGAGGGGCTATGTTCAGTTTTTTTTTTTTTAATAGGAACTAGATAAATATAACAAGCTAGTCAAAAGTAATTGGGAACCAGCAGTTAGCGTAATGGCTATGTCGCTGGACTCCCATGTGGTCAACTGCGGTTCGTGTCCCGGACCCGGTGGCTTAAAAAACTCACGCCGGGTGTGTGTGCGTGCATGCCCAAGATCCCGAGAGGAGAATTGCAGTGTGACCATCCCCTCTGGGGGGTGATTTCTTGCTTTCTGTCTCTCTGTCTCTCTCTGTCTGTCTGGCGAGCACACGTGCCCTATAGCAAAAACCTCTCCCCCCTCAAAAAAAAGTAATTTAAGATACTTGAAAGGATAAATTCCTAGTAGATATCGGGAGCCTGGCACTAAAGAGCTTGTAGAGGTACAGTTTGTGAATCAGACTGACCAGCACAGCCTACAAGATTAAACCGTTAGAGGAACCAGTAGTTAGCGTAATGGCTATGTCACTGGACTCCCACGTAGTCGACCGCGGTTCGTGTACCGGACCCGGTGGCTTAAAACTCACGCCGGGTGCGTGTGTGTGCATGCCCAAGATCCCGAGAGGAGAATGGAGGAGAAGGGATTGCGGCGTGACCATCCCCCCTGGGGGGTGATTTCTCGCTTTCTGTCTCTATGTCTCTCTCTGTCTGTCTGGCGAGCACACGCGCCCTACAGTGAAAATCTCTCAAAAAAAAAAAAAAAAGATTAAACCGTTAGAAAGCTTTATATGTTTTTCAAATGGTATGTATTAAATCACTTTTGTGAGGCATGACACTGTCATTTTGAATAAGACTCATTAAATCAAGGACAAAAATTATACATGCTGCAATTTGTTCAGAAAACATATTCACTTAGATTCCCAGGTATTTTGCTTCTAAATTGAAAAATGAAGTTGTAAAATACTGGGGATATAGAAGTTCCCACTTTTTGTTTTAACAGAACACAGGAATTGTCCTAGGATTAAAACTTTATTAATAATAGATCCAAGACACACCTGATTAACAGATCCCATGGGAACACAGCTTTTGAAAGCCAATCAATTAAAGTCAGTTGCCATGCCCCAAAATAAGCAATCGTGGCCAAAGATATTACGATTCACATCACCATCAGCAGATAAGTTTCCATTATGATGCCTGTTTTGACCTCCAATCCTGGTTGGATAAGGTCATGGCAGTAATCACTCCAGGCTCAAGAGCATTATTACCTCATAGCAACTATTCTATCAAGTATATCCCACTATGTTTTCCTCCATCCCCCACAGCCTCAGGATGAAGAACAATGAGTCAAACACTTACCATTTTTATAGTTATCCCAGGTCCAGGTTGGGATAAAGCAGGAATCATTAAAATGTATGGGTTCTATGGCCACGGCTATGGTGCCCACATGGAGGTTGAGTTCAGCAGCCTTGGACAGTTTTATCAACATCAAGTCATTTTTCAGAGATTTTTCATCAAATTTAGGATAGGGCACAGTCAATGAGTAATTCCGTATCTGCTCATGCTTATTTGTGATGGTGGGTTGATAAACTCCCAGTCGGATTTTAATACTTTAGAAGAAGGAGAGAACAAGAGTCTCAGAATGTCAGACAACAAGAAACATCAGAGGACATGTTTTCCAGTCTCAGTTCTTTTTTTTTTTTTTTTTGTTAAATTGTGAACTGAGAGGCCTACTCTTGTCTGCAGATAACAATCATGTACAGGACTGTTGCATAAGAGATATGCAGATATAAAACCCGAGTGTTTTCTCTCAAAGGTACTCTGTACAGTCTAATTTTAGTTTTAAGACTTTCATCATCTAAATTAGCAGGTAATAGAGATGAAGCCACGACTCATTGTTCCAGAGTTCTTTGTACTCTACTGCCTCAAGCAACTTCTGAGCAAGCGGATGGTGCCCTATTGTCTCTGGATATTCTTAAGCTTTTCTCTGCTCCTTTCAGGCCCTTATGGTATTTGTCAACATTTATCATAGATAGATGCACAAGAATTCCAATCTTGGGAGTTTTTCGGGATTTTCAGTTACCATTTTCTGTTATATTCTCTGGACAAATGCAGATGTGCCCACTTTTATCACCAGAAACCCAGTTGTGAGCAGCTCATATATTCGATATGGGTAAGAGAAAGGTGTCTGTTTCTCAATCCCATTTCCAGGACAACATGAACCGTCTTTACTTCCTCATAATGCACAGAACCAGGGGTTAAGTTTGGGTTGAACTAAACTGTCTTGAACAAGTAGATGGCTAGGGGTTCTGACTTTGAAATGACTCTCATGCACTCCTGAAACTGAGCAGGTCTCAGTTATGTAACATATTTTCACATGCAACAAGAACAATGGCAAAGATTACCTTTTATTTTTCTGTGCTCTTCGTCCTACTGCTGTCACCTGCATGAAGTGGCTTCTGCCACAACTCGGTCAACACTGATTACTCAGTTTGTCAAATATGCTAGAAGTTTTGCTATTCCAGAGATTACATGCATATTGGTTTCTCCAACTAGAATATCATCCAGGCTATATTCATTTAGCTGCCTCCTCTTTCTGTTGGTCTCACCTCATCAGATAGGATGGATGTGAATACCCTAACTGAAGTAGATCTCTGATTTTGTTACATATAGTACAGCTTGTCATTCTTTTTATGTGGTCATTTTGGCCATTTCTTTGTTTTGGCTTACTGCCTCCACTGGAATGTGCACTACTCCAAGAAGGAAAATCAGTTTCATCATTTTGTTTTCTCACTGTTTCTCAGTTAAACATTACTTGTTACATAAAAAATTCTTGATAAAAATATAATGACAGATAAGTATTATTTACTCACCCATGAGATAGACTCTTCTGATACCTTCCTGTTGATCTCTTTAAATTGCCCAAATGTATATCCTTTTTGTTC